GCGTTTGCTGTGCAGAAGCTTCTTATTTTGGTGTAGTCACATTTGTTTATTTTCTCCTTAGTTTCCATTGTCCTAGGAGCTGTATCAGTAAAAATATTGCTACAACATATGTCTTCTATTTTGCTGCTTGATGATAGCCAAATTTTTTGCCTGGAGTCTTCTAAGATTTTTATGGTTTCTCATCTTATGTTTAAGTCCTTTATTCAATATTGAGTTTAATTTTGTATATGGTGTAAATTAGTGGTCTAGTTTCATTTTTTTGCATGTATCTGTCCAATTTTCTAAACACCATTTACTGAAGAGTGTGTCTTGACTCCAATTGTATGCTCTTTCCTCCTTTGTTGAATATTAATTGGGCATAGTGGCGGGTCAATTTCTGGGTACTCTATTCTATTCCATTGATCTATATGTCTGTTCTTGTGCCAGTACCAGGTTGTTTTGAGATCAGTGGCTTTGTAATACAGCTTGATATCTGGCATTGAGATCCCACCTATTTTGTTTTACTTTCTCAGGTTTGCTGCAGCTATTTGGGGTCTTTTTTTTATTCCAGATGAATTTTTGGAAAGTTTGTTCTAGGTCGAACAGGTAATATTTCCTATGAATAGTCTATGTGCCAGGTCCTGTGTTGAGCACTGTATCGTCTCCATTTTCAGTGTCCTGTAGTTTTCTGAGTAGAGGTCTTTTACCTCTTTAGTTAGGTTTATTCCTAGTTATCTTAATTTTTTTGGTGCGATGGTAAATGGGATTGCTTTTTTAGTCTCTCTTTCTGCAAGTTCATTATTGGTGTATAGAAATGCCATAGATTGTTTGGCATTAATTTTGTATCCTGCTACATTGCCGAATTCATTTATTAAGTGTAATAATTTTTTGATGGAGTCTTTAGGGTTTTCTATGTACAGTATCATGTCATCTGCGAATAAGGACAGTTTGACTTCTTCTTTTCCGATTTGGAAGCCTTTTATTTCTTCTTCTTGTCTGACCGCAATAGCTAGTACTTTCAGTACTATGTCAAACAGGAGTGGTGAGAGTGGGCATTAGTGCACTTTATTTTTATTCTGCATTGTATTCTAATGTATGAATAGAACACTATTTAATCATTGCCATTAATGAATAGATGTGTTGTCTCAAATTTTTTGCTATTATGAATAATTTTGCTATGAACCTACTTGAATATGTCTATTGGGGCACTTTTGTATGCATTTTTCTTATACATGGGAGCAGAATGGCTGGGTCATAAAGAATGTATAAAACAAACAAACAAAACTGAAACAGACTCAGAGATACAGAAAACAGACTGACAGCTGTTAGAGAGAAAAGGGTATGGGGGCTGGGTGAAAAAGTTGAAGGAAATAAGCAAAACCAACCAACCAAACAACAACAAAAATCAGACACAGACAG